ATAAAATGACTATGGGCATTATTGCAGATGTGAATATGCCGTTCAACCCCTAGACACGAATGCTATTCTATACTAAGTGACATATAAATCCGAATACCCAGTTTAAATGGTTTTATTTTAATAAAGTTTTGTATAAGTACTTAATGAAGCATAATAAGTAAATGATAAAAATTTCAAAATGATTGCACTGCTTTAAAGCCCTTTGACCTTTAATAATGTGTGGATGCACCCTTATGTGCTACACATTCTCCAACGCGCCTAGGCATGCTTCTGATCAGGTGGTCAATGTCCTCCTGCGGTATCTCATTCCAGGCAACCACCAACTCCTCTCGAAGTGCTTCTAGAGTCTGCGGAGGACGTTGCAAATTGAGCAATCTCCTACCCATCATATCCCACACGTGCTCAATTGGGGATAAGTCGGGAGATCTTGGTGGCCATGGTAACAATGTGACATCGTTATGTTGGAAGAAGTCTATTGTGACTCTTGCAATATGTGGTCGGGCATTATCTTGTTGGAAAGTTGGATCTGCCAGGGTGTCAAGATAGGGTAAAAGATGAGGTTCTAGAACTTCGTAGATTTAACGCTGCGCGTTCATGTTACCTCTGATGAAGATTAAAGGTGACCAGGAACCATAAGCTATAGCACCCCAAACCATAACTCCAACAGTGTGATGAACATGTCTTTCAACAAAAAACTGTGGATTCCTCCTTTCACCTGGCACGACCATCGTGCATGCCTAAACAAAATCGAGACTCGTCACTAAAGACAATACTGTTCCATTCCTGATCCCAGAGTGACCGTTGTTTGCACCACTCAAGGCGATTACGTCGGTGTTCTCGAGTTAAAGGGAGGACCCAGTGTGGCCGGTATGAAAACAAGCCAAAACTTCTCATTCGTCGGTAAATACTTCGCATGCCAATAGGTCTTCCGTGTTCTGCAAACCATTCATTTGCAATGGACCTGATAGTGGAGAAACGGTCCCTTAAGGCCAATAATCTTAAGCGGCGATCTTCACGGTCTGTTGTTCTACAGCGGCGTCCAGTGCCCCTTACTCTTTGCGTACGGCCTTCTTGAAGCCATGCCTGACAACACCTAACCACAATGTCTACACTTCTTTGCACTCTAACGTCAATTGCCCGAAAAGAAAGTCCAGCTTCCCGAAGTCCCACTATACGGCCCCTATCAAACTCACTATCCGATCGTAAAGGATGTCAAGAACCAAAATCCGCCAACGTTGATTCTTTACTGCGGCTGAAATATTCATTTTTAGAGCGTTAGTGAGTTAAAGAAAAGCAGTATATACGTAAAAACCGGAATGTCCAACTGATAAGGCTGAAAATTTTTTCACTTGTTATTTACAGTAAGATAAATACATTCACCAACTTTTATTAAAATAAAACCATTTAAACTGGGTGTCCGGATTTATATGTCACTTAGTATATATATGCTCTAAATGATAACGGAGTTCGTTTCCTGTCAAAAAAGTTGATCCAGGAAATTCGATATGCCGAAAGGAGACCAGAACTAGAAAGATAACTAAGCAACCGTGAGTTTTCGATGCACTTGTAAAGCGAACTTTTTGAGTAAATTTCTTGAATCCCAGATCCGTTTAAGTGTCAAGGTATAAAGATGAGGTGGACCTTGTAAGGATCATGAGCATGAACAACATGACATATCTCAATATCTTCCTAAAAGGTATTTAAATGAAATATTTTCTTCTGTATAGTGATTATCCGAGTATTATTTATTGTGAGACCAAAAATCGGCACATTCACCAGTTTTGAAATTCTACCTTCTCACAAACTAATCATAGTCTTTCGTAGAGAAAACCGAAACAATGAAATATACTGAATCCTTAGATAAATCGACTAGGAACCCATTATCTATATGCTTTGTGTGGTTCTATGGTTTCTTCAATTTCTGTGAAAATTTTCAGTTTTTTCCAATTTAACTGACCTCGTTAGTGGGGGCAGAGACATACTTGTAGACAGGATATTCCCAACTATATTGCGATAAACCTTTTTGTTTTCCCAAATTCTTAATAATCATATTTGTATATTGGGCACTATTGTGTATCGTATATATCTTGGACTCCCTTCCAAGCCCGTATCATATTAATGATGTATATATTATTTCTGTAATTCTGTGACATATGGACCAAAAACACTTAATCTTATTATCCGACATATGAATTTACTTTCCGTAACCACGTGCTCATGCTCAGCTGCTGATACTCTACAAGTTCTTGCCACAGAAAATGAAGGACAGCCTCGAACAATTTTTCAATTTCGTCGTAGAAAACTGCAGCAAACAGATACTGACATATCATTATAACGTCAATCAAGTGTCATTAAAAAATAATTATTACGTACATTGCTAAATCCTGACTCCCAAGGTTTCGTATTCCACTTGCGGTTTGTCATGCTTTGTTGGTTAATTAATGATACAAACTATTTCCGCTTGCAAGTTATATGAACTGTCAAAACTGGAGTTGATTACGTGCATGATTCAAATATGAATTTTTAAACAACTGTTGCTAAAAATGTATGCATGCCTAATAAATAGGATGACTAAACCGCCAGATGAGCGCACCGCACCACCTTGGAAATATTTCTATCATTCTACCCGTAAGCCTTGAGTGAAAATTTATTATCGAAAGATGTCTAACAAGTGCGTAGACTTACCTGGGTTGGAAGTGTATTAATATGCGAACATCAAAAACTTGAGACATGCTCGCGCCCAATCTTTTAACCTCCAATCCCTAACGTATAACCCAGATACAAATTTTTCTGGAGCCACTGGAACGTCAACGAATGAATTTTTGACGAATATTCATGTTTTCGTTATTTGCCATTCACGCTGCCGCCACTGGACCGATGTTCAGAAAATAGAAAGGTCTTTTGTCTTCAACATAGTGGTTGCGTCTTTTGAAAATATGATCGAAATCCCAGAGGTACCTTCTATGTTACAGACGGGCCCAGGATTAGCGGACAGACAGGTCGCCAGACAGATAGACAGAGCGACAAACAGACCGACAGACAAACAGAATTGAGTGGCGTGGTTTTTCATAGTATACATGTCATATAACATCCAAAAAACGTATCTCATTTCCAAAAATTTTCCTGAATAAAATATTTCTTCCACCAGTAGCCGTGCCAAATAAGGATGCGTTTATTTGTTAGTTGTGCATTGTGAAGTTCATGTAGTCTACTAAGCATGCCCGACGCTAAATTGCACCGAAATTAAATTTTTACTCTCAGTCAAACTATCCGATTCATCAACGCAAACCTGTGATTACTTTCGCTTTTGCCTGATGAATTACTGAAATAGTTCATTTGCATAATAACAAGCCGTATAGTAAATCCCGCTATTCCGGTACATCTACAGATAAAGCCATAGTTTAATTTTATTCTAATTTATTCCAACCCTAAATCAACAATTCTGTTCACGTTGTAAACATCATTTACCAAGTACAATAGAATTTAAACAGTTTACTGTCAGTCGGGGTAATGTTTGATATATACGCCCGTGGTACTTTGTTTTAATGCTGTGTAATAATCACGACGATTTTCTCAGTCTGTATTACGCACAGCACTTACGCCATAAATTGTGGTTTAGAAGGCCACTTATATCTGTTTAAAAACACTCCTTGAAGCTGAGCTAAGGCAAATCTGCCTGCTTCCTGTCTTCTTGATCATGACCAACCGTATACAACGTTGTTCCGTGAGTATTGGTAATCAGTACGGTATAGGTCTTAACTTGGAGACGAACAATGGGAAGCGAAAAGCAATAATGACCCACTTCAAAACTACCCAACGATTGAAAGGTTATGTTTTTTATAACGGTGGGCGACATCTATTCGTTCTCAGAGCGATACTACCTTTTAGTTTTCATTTCAAGTTGTAGGGCGCCTAACTGCGTTCTCAACGCATGGGTCAAGATATACCAATCTCTGGTGAACTACTTGTCTGTGGAAGAAGCGTAATACCGCATCTAGGTGGCTTTTTGACATGATGTAGCTTTTGTTACAAGATGTTAACTTAGCATTAGCTGATGGATACTTGTTGCCAACTCGTTTTGTAGTTGTCCGTGTTGATGCTTCAATTTTCAATGTTTGGTTCTGATGTGATGTAACATCTGCTTCAAAGATGGCATGATGATGGCTGAAAGGAAACATCAGTGCATAGGTGGATAGTGATGATTTGTGTACTAATAATATGTATTGATGATAATTCCATCGGTTTCTTGTCTCAAATACACTCACTTGAGATTAAAAGCAAGAAATCTGCTGAATATAAAAAATCAGATAGATAAGAAAAGAAAATTCCTGGTTGGTGAAGTAACAGGTGAGAAAATTTGCTACAGACACGAATATTTATGAAAGTGAAAAGGTTAGCACATCATGTTTCATTTCTATTCATTTCAATTTTATAGAAAATTATTTTGGGATATCAAGAGAAAATATAAATCAGCATCTAAGGTAAATGCGGGAGAGTTGCCGCGGCGGGAGAGACGCCGCTTTTGTCGTATTTCAACGCTAATGCCATAGAGTAGGCAACCGAGTGTACCCATGATGAAAGTCGATCGTTTAGTGAACGGTTACGACGTCGAACGTGTTTGTTTTTTGGAATATTGCATGCTATCCTCGAATTTAGGAAGGTAAGATCGAATTTTCTTTGCAAAATTTTAGCCTGTATCCTAGAAAGTGTGGTTTTTTGCACGGTGGTAGTTTTATTTGATAATCGTATTGATCGTATTGATAATCCAGTATTTTGAGGTTATGTCCACACATACCATGTTATATTTTGTCGCGTTGTAAATGCGTGATTTTGATAAGCGGGCGCGGCATCTCTCCCAACAAAAAGGACAGTTGCCGCATTTTAGGGAAGGAGAGATGCCGCAAATTATTTTTTCAAAGTTATCGTTTTGTCATGGATTTTATCAAATTAAAGTTATATTTTGATTAGAAAAATGCCACGGAAATATCAGAGGAAGGCAAATGCACGCCCTAGGGCTTTGTGGACCGAAGAACAATTGCAAGAAGCCATTAATAAAGTTAGTTCCGGTGAGATATCCAAAAGAGAAGCCCATAGGCGATATCATCTCCCACCAAAGACCCTTAAACGTAGAATGGCCAGTGGTAATCTTCAGAAAGGGAGTCTCGGACCAGAAGGTAAAGTGATTTTTTAGACTTTGCTTCAGCATTACCTCATAATTTATTTTAAAGGTGTTCTAGGGCATAAAAATGAAAAACGGTTGGTTGTTCACATCCAACGATTGGCAGCGGCTGGATTTGCTCCTGATAGAAATACAGTTCGACGGCTGGCTTATAATTTTGCTGAGAAGCTGAAATTGAAACACAAATTTTCACACAACAGCGGGATGGCTGGTTATTCTTGACTGTCATCATTTTTAGAAAGAAATCCCGAATTGACAATAAGGCAAGCTGAAGGACTGTCATTATTAAGAGCTCGAGTAATGAATAGAGAAGAAACTTCCAAATTTTTTCAACTTTTGATTGATATCCTAACTGAAAATAATTTATTGGATAAGCCATCTCATATTTTCAATATGGACGAGACAGGTGTTCAACTGATCAACAAACCTGGGAAAGTACTAACAACGAAAGGTGCAAGAGATGTCCACGTTTTAACATCTAAAGAGCGAGGAGAAAATGTAACGGTTGTTTTCCACCCACGTTAATTTTCAAAGGTGTAAACCGAAAGGCTGAATTTTCGGATGGATTGCCAGCTGGATCCAAAATTTATATGAATAGAAAGTCATCCTTCATAAATTCGGAATTATTTCTCAAATGGTTAAAGGAGCAGTTTATCCCCAATAAGCCATCCGGTAAGTGTTTATTAATCCTGGATGGCCACACTTCACACAGTACTGACGGCGATCTGCTGCAAGTGGCTGACGATAACGATATAATTATCTTGTGTTTACCAAGCCACTGTACCCAGGCTCTTCAGCCACTAGACCGAAGCTTTTTTAAGCCTTTTAAAACTTATTTTAACCAGGAAGCTCAGTTATGGATGAAACACAACGCCAGCAGAAACTTGACGAGATATCAAGCCGGTGCATTAATTGGAAAAAGTTGGTTAAGATCAGCATCTGTGGCCACAGCCATTAACGGTTTCAAGGCAACAGGGATATATCCTGTTGATCCTAATGCTATTCCGGATCACTTCTATTCTATAACTGATTCAGCCATGGCAGATACTTCCCCAGAAAGAGATGCTAACCGTCCCAGCTTAGGATTACCCTCCACCAGCCCTACTAGTTCTGCTCAAGCATGTGGTAGGGGAGATGAAGGCGACGGTCCACAAATCACTCCTTCAAAATTTTTGCAAGAAGTTTCTCCTGTCCCAAAAGTACCTGTATCCTTCAAGCAAAGGTTCAAGCAAAGCGCAGCTGTGTTAACATCACCTGAAAACATAACGAAGAGGGTTCGCCCTGACAAACATAACACAACCAATGTGACAGCGAAGAAAAAGAAACTAAGAGTACAAAAAAAAACAGCTAGAGGAAGAGCCAGAAAAAAATCAAAGGAGCGACAGCGACGATGAACCTCTGGCCAAAAATAAAACTGAAAATCGGGAACGCTGCGTGGAATGCTTTGAAGTTTACGAAACGACAACTAAAACAGTGGATTGGCTGCAATGCCTTAAATGCTTAAAGTGGCTACATGTCACTTGTACCATGTATGGTGAAGTGTGTAACATCTGTTCTAGATTCGACTTAAGAAAAAGAAATGAAAATTAGGGGTTTTCCAGAGATGCCGATACTGCGGCATCTCTCCTTTTTTGATGCGGCGTCTCTCCCAGTAGTGTGGGAGAGATGCCGATTTTAATAGAAAAAATTTTTTTTTTGCTTTGTCTATATTTCTTCAGAATTAAAGTTTATTTTTATGTCTTAATAAAGTTTAATACAGTACCTTTGTATTGATTTATTTTTAAAGAACAGTGTTAAAAATCAAGAAAATTACAGCCATTTTTCAAAAAGTGCGGCAACTCTCCCGCATTTACCCTAGATGTGAGGCATTGCAAAAGTATTTGAAGTGTCATGCGGCACTCCTAATGTTTCTGTGATGTGGCTTAATTACACATAACGCGTAATGCTCCTCAAAGTTTTTGAAAACACAAAAACTGGCAAAAATCGTAATTTATAACTTTGAGCATCACCTGTCTTCAGAAAGGACAATATATAAATAACCCGTCGGGCACTTTCTGGGCAACATATTCGGTAATAATTTTCTCGCATGGATAATATCACTGATTTTATACACATACAGACCAACACACATAATCATCCAGACGCCATCTTGCTATTAAACCAAGTTTTTTTTCTCTCACATCTCAGAGATAGACACTACAGGCTACTGGGCTTCACAAAACATATACTTGCTTTCTGCAACCAACAATGCGTGCAGTTGAGTCATTTCTCCATAGATGGATGCTCACAGCGGTCATAGGGAGCGAACGTGGAATAAACTATTTCCACCATAAAGACTACCTACGTTTCATAGGTTTTTTACATAACAGACCTTCTGGTCGCTTGCGTATTTTTTAAACTGACGGAAAGTGCGCTTCAATCCTCGTAGCCATTTTAAAGTTATTTGGAGTCGTCAGCAAGGTCCAGATAATGAGATGACGAACGAGAGCAAAGCAAAACTACATTTATCAGTGATATGGAGATTTAGACACGAATACCATCTGACAGTCTCTAATGTGGGATTCTCCCTGTATGCTGACTAACAATGAGGTGTGGAGTACTGAGTGGTACGCTATCATAAGTTGAATTTACAGTGCATCACCAAGAAGCTAGATAGGTACCTTATCTTCCGGTCAGCGAACAATCGGGATTCGTTTGTGGAAGTCAAACGTCGAGGTAATTTAACTGGAAGAAGTTGCACCATTTTTATTTGCTACCCAGTCGCAATAGACATTGACGTAGGAACGGAATGAACTTAGGGGCGACATTTATGCTGTCATATCGACATCATACCTTCTGCTTAGCATGTTGTCTTTTTTTACGATACGCCTCTACATTTTACTGTGTGTCCATCAGGAGAGTGTTAATGTTACCCCTGAAACTTATCCTGTTTTCATTTTCATAGGACTCGATACCATATAATGTGTTCAAATTTCTGTTTACATTATTGTCATTGTGCTTGAAAGAGGCCACCGTGGTGATCGAAACGTCGTACGATAAATAGGAATTTAAATATATACGTGCTTTGATACGGCCACGCAATGGAGTCCCAAGAGTTTCGATTATACACTGTTGAGCTATGGGCTACTCCGTCTAAAAATTGGGTCAACGCTGACAACCTCTGAAGTTGCCATCCTAAAAAAAAATGATAAACCGACAGACTAGGCCATTTTTTATTCTTGTGGTCGACCCCGTAGTACCAACACTATACCACTTCACACACCTACTTCTACTAGCAACTGATTATTAAGTAAACCAGCTCCAGCGATGCGATGTACTACGATGGTCTTGCACTGATCTGTTGCGTGTGAAGACTGCACTACGGAAGAAACCTTCTTAACTCAATTTTTCACAGCTTAGAAAAATATATTACGCATTAATAGAAAGTCATCTGATGTACGGCCTAGTAGCGTAGGATTTGTCTAACAAAAACATCTGTCTCAACCTCAGAAAAATACAAAAACAAATACTTAAAAGAATACATAACATACCAAAAACATATCCATCTGACGAAATGTTCAGAATAGCCTTGCAACAGATTAATATAGAAATAGTGAATGACTGAGCTATGTTAGTTTTACTCAGCAAACGAGAAACCGAAAAGACTTGGCTAGAGGAGCAGCACCAGAAAAAGCTTTAAGCATCCCACAAACCGGCGCGAAATATTCGCTTTGTCTGCGAAAATTTCGCGGCGATGAATTCGCGATCAGATTAAAACGCGGCGGTTTACGGACAGGCTCAGACTTGTGCGAAGCGAATGCGATTTTATCCAGCGTTTTTATCGCAGCGTATTTCAGTTTGCCTTTGACCGCGTTTTTGACGCCGTTCTTCAAAAATTCGCAATGGCAAAAACGGAATTATTGATAGAAATAGTGAAAAAGTATCCTTGTTTGTATGATTTGTCGAACGATGAATACAGGAATGTGAGAAAGAAAGACAAGATTTGGATGGAAATAGGAAAAGAATTAAATACAAATGGTATGTACCTAATATTTTTTATTAACTTGTTAAATAATTTACAATCTACACTAATGTGAAAACGAACATTCTATATATTGGGCATAGGCATATCAGAATTAAAATAATTTACGAATTTGTCACGAGTAGAAAATGCTAGCCTTGCTGCCCGCCGAGGATCATTTGCTATATCACTAAAAGCTCCAAGCACGGGTTCTGGGGATCTAAGAATTGAAAATATTTGTCATCGCCACTTTTACTTCGTAAAAAATTGTGTAAAACACATGCCGTACGTACAATTAGAATAGTAGTATCTACTTTAGTTTCTAATGGCCTGTAAAATATTCGCCATCTTTGAGACAAAATACCAAACGCATTTTCCACGACCCTTCTAGCTCGACAAAGTCTTACATTGTATTTCTCTTTTCTGACGTGTGTTAAAGTCTGCTTATAAGGAAATGGTCTCATAAGGTATGGTTTTAAAGCAAATGCTTCATAACCAATTAAGACGTACGAGCAGATTTCATTTTGCCCAGCGAGAAATCTAGGTGCAGGGACACTCATTAAATTTTGTTCAAATCGTTTTCCCATGTTTGAGGTTTCGAAAATACCCCCATCACTATTTTTTCCGAAACCACCAATATCAACACATATAAATTTATAGTCCGGGCCAACAATGGCCATAAGTACTATTGAATATTTATGTAAATAGCACCAGTAATTGGAGCCACTGTTGTTAGGTCTCTTGATTGTTACATGTTTACCGTCCACGCTGCCAATGCAATTGGGAAATCCCCATCTATTTTCAAATTCTTCAGCACATTTTTTCCATATATTCTCTGTTGGTTCTGGTAAATAAATATGCTCCATATGTCTGCATATCGCTTCAGAGGCTTCGGTTACGATTGCACTCACTGTTGTAAAGCCAACTCGAAAGCTATGCCCAATGGTATAGAAGGTGTCACCAGTGGCAAGGAATCTATAAAAAAAATCGTTTTTAGGTGATGAAGTAAAAAAAAGGTGGAAGGATATCAGAGACACATTTGCAAAATATATAAAATCTACCAAACCAAAGACCGGCCAAGCAGTGGGCAACATAAAAAAATGGCAGTGGGCTGACTACATGGAATTTTTCCGTCCTTTTTTGGCATTTGCCAAAACGTCGTCTAATGTGAAAGATATTAACGTCATACATTATGAGACTGCCGAACTTAACTCAAATATATATCAGGAAAGGGCTGGAAATGCAGAAACCGAAAATTTGGAAGACCGCGGCCATGGAGAAGATAAAAATGCTGATGTAGATGCAGAAGATGCACAGGACGCCTCGGCAAGACAGACAGCACCACCTTCTTCATTGAACACTACAGCAGTGACTACTCCAGGGCACACCTTTCCGCAGGCTGCAACTACACCAAAATATAAAACCAGCAGAAAACGCTATGGACCACTATCTTCGTCTGTATAACAGCAACATTAATTATTTTGAAGATAAAAAACCTAAAAAAGAGAACGAGGCCATTGATTCACTTTTCTTGGCACATGCACAGACTGTGAAAACACTTCCCTTAAAGCGTCAAGCCCGAATAAAACTAAAAATAGCCGAATTAATAGCGCACGAAGAATTTGAACATATTGAAGGAATGTCTTCAGCGTCCACCCAGAATTCTGCAAGTATGTATGATAGTAGTATGTCGTCCTTCCCAAGCGGCACTGGGTTTACTCCAATAATATACCCAACAGAGGAGGCAAATTCTGCCTCGAATTATTTAGCAGCATTTAATCCTAGTGGCAACATGTAGTCCAATTATTACAATAAAATATTTATTTCACGATCCCTGAAGTTTTCGTATTCGATAAGCCTACTAATTTTAATACATATAATTTTTTTACCTGAGTGTAATAGCAAGTCGTTCTTCTGGTGAAATAGCTTCACGATAATTTGTGTCAGATTTTCGTATTTCATCTTTCACCAAGTTCAATATTCCATCGAAACACTCTGGAGTCATTCTAAAATATACGTAAAAGCGCTGTTCATCCAGCCGAAGTTGTGGCATCAAGGTATGGTATTCCCCAAATTTATTTCGTTCCAAGTTAATATCATGTACCCACTTCCTTCGTTTCCTAAACAAAATTGAAAATATTTGTTTTATGTACTTCGTTAAATTTAATACATACCCAACTATCAAATGGCGTTAAAGAAACATAACTTACCGTGCATTTTGTTCCTCTTCTAAAGCAAGAAATAGAAGTGCCTCCTCTTCTTCTGAAGACGAGCTCATTGCAAAAGGCAAAAATAAAATGTACGCAACCTGTCGAAACCTTCACGTTCGCGGAGCGAATAAGACGCTTTGGTATGAATGAACAGGCGAAACAGATTGCGAATTTCGCTCTGAATTTCGTTGCGAATACTTCGCCGCGATTATTTCGCGCCGGTTTGTGGGATGCTTTATTTCTTAGGTCTTATCATTTCTCAGCTTCTACATCGTTCAACATCCTTTTGAAATCAAGTTTGTAAGAACTTGAATGAATTTGAAAAAGAGCTAAAGAATCTATCTATACCTCGAATAAGGATTCATCAAGAAATTGATCTGAAAATAGTTACTCTCTTATATAATATCTAATCTTTTATTTGTGATTTTATATTTAAATTGTCAATGTGTAACCTGACTTGATTGTGATGATTTTTTCAACGAACTGTGAGTGTCGTTTACCTGGGGTGGATAATTATTATTATGGAAATGATAGTTATTTTATGCCATTCACCCACGTATAAGGAGTATTCCTTCCAGTGGGATTCTCATATATTGTTATTTGCTTCAATTTAATGTTGCATACTGTAATGAATTGTGCGAATAAATTATACTGGTACTAGTGCGCAATAATCAGATACTCAAGCTGTAATTTACAGTTAGCAATAATGGCGTTTCAGAATCTGACTTAGAGCATTTTCGTTTTACTTTCTGGAAAAAATATCTGCAGTGTCATTGACTCTGAGTTTTCGGGTCATGTTGAACAAATAAAGATACGCCTTTGGTAGGATTATGGCGTGGATCGAAAAGTTCGTCGCTATTTCGATTTTGCCCAAGTTAAATTGTGTTTTCTTCTTATGTGACCGCCTCGGGTGAGTTCCCAAACTCGGTTTGGATTTCTGTATAAAATACATTGAGCAAACGAACACGCGATAATGTTGCGCCATCTCCCGGAGATTTTTGAGAATAGAGATCGAAGTCGCTTGTTCGAGAAGTATGTAGTGGATCTTGCGATTATTCCTACCAAGAATTTTCTCCGATGTTTCGGCTGTTTTTGCATATGCAAAACACAGTGTAAGACGCACTAAGTAGGAACCCGTCTTTAAACAGACTGGTTTCACTGACTCTGCATTTTCTGGTAACTCTATCAAGTCTGAATAGTATCCTAGGTATCTTTCGTGCCGTACCTGGGGCACATGGTACTTGTTTGACCACAATTATACGATTAGATAACGGAAAACAGCTGTTGCTCAGCGCGACAAATTATACAGGGTGGTCCATAAGTCCTTTGAAATTTCAAATTTGAATAAAATTTAACGGGTGAGCGTGAGCGGCGCGGGCGAGGTTGGGGCAGTATCTTCAGTGTCTGGGAATTCAGTCGCCATGGAGTGTTTCACTGGAGCGGATCGTGCTTTTTGTGTGCGCGCGTTTTATCAAAATAATGATTCGGCAACCATTGCGCGGCGTAAATATCGAGAATACCACAATTTACACAATTTTACAAAGTGTCCAACAGCTCAAACGATTAAGAACTGGGTTGCTAAGTTCGAAGAGACTGGTTCGACGTTAGATAAACAGCGGTGGGGTCGACCAAGGACAACTCGTATTGAAGAAAACATCAACATTGTGGCGCAGTCTGTTCGTCAAAGTCCTACCCAGTCTACTCGTAAGCGTTCCAGTGCACTAAACGTACCCAGAACATCTTTACAGCGGATTTTAAGGAAAGATTTACGTCTGCACGCTTACAAAATTCAGTTAGTGCAGGAATTAAAAGATAATGACGCTATTCAGAGACTAAACTTTGCGAATGAAATGTTGAATCGATTTTCTTCGCTCAATAATCTGTTGTTCTCGGACGAGGCTCACTTCCATTTAAACGGGCATGTAAATAAACAAAATTGCCGTTTTTGGAGCCCCGAAAATCCAAGGCGTAAGCATCAGAAGCCCTTACACAGCCCTAAAGTTACAGTTTGGGCTGCTATGTCAGCGCATGGCATCGTAGGCCCTTATTTTTTTGAGGACGACAGAGGTCGCGCATTAACTGTTACTTCGGAGCGGTATGTAGCAATGATAGAAGCGTTTTTGACACCAGCGTTGCAGAATTTTCCAGGCTATAATACGCAGACCTGGTTTCAACAGGACGGAGCAACTGCCCACACCTCCAACACTTCTATGCCCGTGGTCTGTCAACTTTTTCCCAGCAATGTAATTTCTAAAAGAGGAGACATTTCCTGGCCACCACGTAGTCCAGATTTGACGCCAATGGACTTCTTTTTATGGGGCTACCTCAAGAGTAAAGTGTACGACACCACTCCGCGATCAGTTGATGTCCTGATAGAAAATATCCGAAGAGAAATGGCAAGCATTACAGTGTTGACTCGCCGCGCAGTCATTGACAATTTTAGACGTCGTTTATATGAGTGCCGTGATCGTAATGGATTGCATTTAGACGATGTGATTTTTAAAACATAATTCCCATTCAATAAAGATGATAACAAAATATAATAATTCTTCATAATGTAACTAGTTTGGTTTTATTCCTTGTTTTCCAGCTCAAAGGACTTATGGGCCACCCTGTATTATCATTCCTAGATATTTGCAGATAAGCCGTTATACCTAAACACTTTCTTGAAATGCAAGATCCTAGGTTCGACTTTTGATAAGCAAGCTTTTGGTTTTACTCTCAGTCATTATCATGTAGCCACTTTTCCACTATTCTTTTGGAAAAGAGGTAGTAATTATACAATTTTTTGTCTGTTTTAAGTCTCAATATATTCCTCATTTCTCTATTTATAATAGTTGATACAAATAATGAAGTGAAAACTACTGATAAGCTATCTAAAATTAAAAGATGTGTATATAAGAATAATAATAATAGACGTCTTTATTTATGCACAATTACATGTAGTATAGCCAAATGTCAGACTTATATGGCGAAGTTTAGCATGCTGCTACTCTTACACTTAACCATATAGTCTCTAGCAGATGTTCAAAAGAATACACTATCCACAAACAGATTTGGTTCATTGCATCGAAAGTAAAATTTAAAAAAAAAAAAGAGAAAAAGGCATACTTTCCAAACCCAAATGCACCAAAAAATTATTAATCTGAATTAAAGATGGAATAAAAAAGAAATGAATAATTACGTAAATTATATGTTTGGAGGGTTGAGTAATAATGTTTTAACTTTTTGTCGAAAGACAGGTAATGAAAATTCTTTATATACTTATGAAGGTCATTATAAATAATAGCAACATTGTAAGAAAAACTGCGTTTAAAAAGTGTAGACGTATGCAGGGGTATTCTAATATTATTTTCTCTGAGAGTTCTACAGTGAACATCATTATTAAATGAAATTTTTTCCTTCAAGTAATAAGGTTTAGACGTTAGCAGCAATTTGTGAACAAAAACTGAATAGTGATACTTGACCATGTCATTAATTTTTAACCAGTTTAGAACGGGATATTTCGCCGATACATGATCAAATTTACGTAAGCCAAAAATGAATCGTATACAATTGTTTTGAATAACTTGAATAACGTTTTTAGTGAAATTGTCTAAACAAGTATAGATATTACAATAATTTAGTATAGATATGACCAATGCTTCACATAGTTTTTTACGCATCTTAAAATTTAGTAAATACCTGTTTGCTATAAGAGTGCGCAGCCGTAGGTAGGTTTTCTGAGATAGACTTTTAACATGTTCAATAAACCTTAAAAAAACAACACCAAGAATTTTTGCAGAATCAGAAAATTGCAAGATTTGGTTATTTATCTGAATGTTCAAGAGCTGTGTTAAATTGTATGTTTTTCTTTGTGCGCAAAATAATAACATTTTAGATTTTTGTGGATTAATAAGTAGATTGTGATCTAAAGAGTATTTAATTAATTTATTTACATCGTTTTGTAAAATTTGAGTAGTATTATTGACATTATCTGGGTTAAAATAATGAAGCAATTGCGTATCGTCTGCAAACGACTGGACATGAGAATTATCAATACTTTTGCTTAAGTCGAACGTATATATGAGGAACAGAAGCGGCCCCAATACAGAGCCCTGAGGTACGCCTGAGGGAATTATTGTCACTTGAGACATTTCTTGATTGAGAAAAACACACTGAGTTCTTTGATGAAGGTAACTGTCGAAAAATGAAAGGGATACACTGTCAAGACCTATGTAATTTAATAATAATAAAAACAGAAAGCGTATAAAACAATAGAGAAAGTATATAAATTAATGAACACATAGAAAGTGGACAAATGAAACACTACTGAAACAAAAACTGTGATGTCCATGTTCATATAGAGTCTTTAAAAACACTCATTTTGCAGACCTGTCTGGTACGTATAGTTTGGAATTGGTTAAGCGTCATATATTGCACCCATACACTCCCATCAGGCGATGTCGGATAAGACCAAGACTAGTTGTACTTGCATCTTTCAGAGTCAAAGTAGGCCGTGTTCGAGGATCCTTGTGCTTTGACTAGTTGATCTCAATCACTTTACGAACACAAAAATAAAGAACAGTCTTCAAAATATTGAAATATATATCTACCATGTGGTATAAAGTATGCATGTCTGCAATATCGACTATAACCCGCTTCCTGGGTATGCCATATTCAAAGTCCACCAGTGCACCGAGTTTTTTCCATTCGTAGCCACATCCGTTGGGGATCTAACACCAGCAGAAGATGCCGCGGATGATGTTCTGTGATGTGGATTGTTTCTTCTGCCGCTTGGTCTCTACATGTTTAGCTAGCATAGTCACAGCAAAATACTTCACAAAACCATGCCTTGAATCTCTCAGCTACATTCATACATTCAGCTTCATCCTCAACAACATCTGCAGACTCTTCGTTGCCATTTTCCTTGCCTACTTCAGATGGAATCTCATTTTCTGCAAATCTCGATCCGAGATATCTCGAAAACGCCGTTGGTGCCTCTTCCTCTTCAAAATGGTTTACCTGTGTTTGTGAGGATGGTTCCATGACTTGACCATGGGGTCTAGCTAAAGGTGTAGGAGGGTTCTTTCTTGGTCTTCTTTGCTCTTTGACCTCTTGTATAGTGTTCCTTCCAAATATGTGATAACCCGTACCTTTTGCTGGTGTATTGGGATGCGTGTTAGAAGTTTTATCCTCGACAGCCAATTTTATGTCATGATCGTTAAATATATCTGAGAAGTCATCACTGAAACGCCTAACAACACCTTCAATGGGATATTTGGTACTGTTCTTAACTGAATCTAGTGTTCGGGTACTATCAATGCTCCTTGTTGTCTGATTTGGAACAACATTTATCTGTCCATGATCATTAAGCAACTGATCAGCAGATAATATCTGTCTATTAGGATATGAAGGAGAAATTGGAAGTTTAGCATCTTGCATTAAACTTTCTTCCGAGACTTTAGAAGAGCCAGTGGTGTTTGTTGGTTCCATACTAAACGGATTTTTAGATACATAGTTCTTTGTCTGTGGATAATTGTTGCTGGATTTATTACTACGGTTACTTTGGGTACGGACAGGTGTAGCAGGCATTAGGTGTGTGGTTCTGTCAGATAAAGTCTTATCGTGTATATATGAAGTTTTGTCACGTTTTGGTGGAAATGGACTTACAGCATTTGTAGATGAGCTTGACATATAAGAAAAACCAGGAGTGCTAACATTTTGATGTTTCTGTCCCAGATGATTGGCATTCAATCTACTCTGAGGAAGCCCTGTGATGGAAACCTTCCCTAGGTCAGGAATATTTGCTGCCGTAAGGTTGCTGGTGAATGTATCCGTATAGCTTGCAAAACTACTAGCCTGTGTTGCAGCAAAAAAATTACCGCCAATAGGCCCGTAGTGCGATCCTGGAACACTTAGATCAAAAGCAGGTACCTGATATGTATTTCTGCCATTATATGTGTTTGACGCAGAAGAATCTGCAGCCCAGTTGTAATTTTGATGATTTCTGCTTGATGTAGATTCTGCAGGGAAGTTTCTACGTCCATGTCTAGTAATCTTCGCTGTAAAGAATTCAAAAAGATGTGTTAGAGGTGGATTTTGAATTAAGGAAAAGCTCAAACGACCGTATGTACTCAACGTTTCATAGAGTGATGAAGTTGATATTAGCTAAATTGTTTCATAGTCATGATTACCGTTTACCTCTGGGAAAATTTGACCCTTTGATTTTGTTTTCACTGGTGTTCGTGTAAAACTAAAAAGATTTCATCAAGCTATCACGTTAACATACTAGATAACAAACATTTAAGCAACCTAATGTGTCTTTTTACGGGCTTTTGTTATGAGAAAAGGTTGATACGGTTATATGATTATTTCTAGCTCACACAGATGCCGCACAGTGGGACCAATGACTAATCTAGTTGGAAAAAATTGAATTCATAAGGAATCTAAAACTACTAGGTGTTTAGTAGAAAAGGTAAATTATAAGCCTAATACTAAAAAGGTATATACACAGAAAGCAGATCAGGGATTACAGTCGCAATGTAATGGATTTCAACAAATTGGGATTAGTGATTAGTTATCGGTTCTAAAAACAGCGAAATTGTTCTTATTTCAAGCCACGCGCTCGCGTCCAAGTCGTTTTTTCGGGATAGAAGGTAAGTATAAGAATATGTACCTAGCTACATTAAATGCGAAATTCAGTTGGAAGCCGGTTTATGATGTTAAATGTCCGTACTAGTATAAATAGCATCACTAAACCACGAATAAATAATTTTTTCACTGTCAAGTGCTTTATTGCACGAATTGTGGGTTTTATACTTTTTGTAATTTCGATGTCTTTCTGCTTGATCTAAGAAAGACCAGACGTGAAGGATGTTTTACCATTCCAAATTACACTGTTGCAGAATATCTACCATAAATTCATTCGTTCATGTACGCGATATTTGGATAACTTGAAAACTATTTGGGAAGGGAGACCAATAAGAGGAGAAAGGAGCTGCTCTTCGAACAAGTCACAATTTAAGCCATATAGCTAGCTTATAATTGTCCGATCACAGACGGCCATCCGTGAACAGCTGGGACACAGCTCCAGCAGACAGTATACTGTTAACTGTGTCGCATTGGTCAATTTTGGTAGCAGATGGCACTTTGTGCCGACTTGTTTCCATATAACGCTGGTCTATTGCATGATTTTGGTTTTCTCTAAGACTTCACACAATGGGGTATTTTCCAACTTGGTGATATTGTCCTATTGATGGCTGAAATTGATTGTTTACACCATTTATCAATTAAAAAAAATACATTTGAAATTCATACCACCAAAGTGGGTTCATTCGAACTTCATGTATGTCCCTCCGAAAAAATCAGCCAATAGGAATCGATTTTTTCAAAGGTTCTCATTAGAATGTGACGATATTTTTATCAAGGATAAGCATCAGCGCTATTGCCATGCACTAAACTCTGGGCGCTGAAGAAAGACATTAAACGTAAACAGTGATCAGCACGTGAACAGATCCCTCGAAAGCATCCACGGATATACTCCAGTCACTTTAGGTCTAAACATCCTCGGCAGTGTATTTCTAGTGAATCCACAGACCCTTTTACGTGTCATCTTGAGACTAGAAAAAGGATGACTGTTAAAATAAGTTACCTTGATCTTTCATGAGCTCCCAGTACAAAACATCATCGATATATTTTTGATGTAGGAACAAAAAATTGGTTTAGAAAACATCCACTTTGAACCTAAATTGACTGGAGTAACATCGATCTACAGACAAATTCAAGGTCACTAGCAGTCGTCGGCGCTCTACGAATCTGCACAGGTTTGGACTTGTAAACGTGATTGTAGATGACACGACAGGCATCTAACAGTTAATTCACGCATAGGATTGCATTGCATACGCATTACGCATTCAGTAGCGTATACTCGTTTTTCGCGAGTGGAACGTTTTGTTTATATATTGCCTAAGATACGATGTCTGACACAGATACAGCCGACGAAGTGGTTGACATCAGCGCAGCCCCACCCAAAGAAAGGGCTAAGAAGCTACATTTAAGTGCAAATGAAAAACAAATAATATTAAATATATACGTATACAAAAACCAAATTCAAGAAAAACCCGATTTGGTCGTGGACGAAGTTATATGTAAGGTAGCACATATTTCTGGAGTATGTCGGTCCAGTGTTTATAGGATCATTAAGGAATATAGGAGCACTCACTCACTTTCTGAGCCAAAACCGTATCCTGCAAGAAAAAGGATAACGGACGGAGTAGATGACTTCGACAGAACTGCCATCAGGAGGAAAGTGCATAATTTTTTCTTCCGAAATGAGATACCTACAGTAGGTAAGATATTAAGATTAGTTAATGCTGATGAGGATCTTCCATCATTTAAAAGAACCATATTCCGAAAACTTTTGAAGGAACTTAATTTTCGATTCTTGAAACCGGGAAGAAACAGTATGTTAATAGAGAAAGAAGAAATTGTTGTGTGGAGAAGGGAATACCTTAGGAAGATTCGGAAGTTTCGCGATGAAAAAAGAAAAATTTACTATTTGGACGAAACGTGGGTGAATGCTGGACATACTCAAGCGAAAGTTTGGGTCGACAAATCAGTAACATTATCAAGGCAGGCTTTTCTAGACGGTCTTTCGGCTGGATTGAAAAATCCTGCACGTAAGCTCCTTCATCTATCCGGCAATTTAATTTTGATAAATTCGGGCAAATAATATGCTGTGATAGCAGATAATGTGTGATATTCTCCAAAAATGGTGCATTCGCAGTGTAGTCATTAGGAAAAAAACTGCGACCCTCTTTTAAGCGTTATTTTGAAATTTATTATCATTTTTGGGTGCAGTCAATTTGCTTTGAATGGGTTTTGAGAAGTTGCAAACTTCAATTTTCTACGTTTTTCAGTTTTTGATCAGCATTCCGTGACTCTTAAATTCAGCTAAATGAACTCAATTGCCTCATTCCTTCAAATTTAATCAATCCATAGTGTAAGGAATAATTTATTTCCAGGAAAAGGCAAACGGCTGATCATTTGTCACGTAGGTAGTGAAGACGGCTTTGTTCCCGAAGCACTGTGGGCCTTTGAATCAAAAAAGACAGGGGACTATCATGAGGAGATGGACGGCAATTCCTTTAAACATTGGTTCTCCAAAATGTTACTAAAGCTGGAGAATAACGCTGTTATTGTACTGGATAATGCCCCGTACCATTCTAGAAAAATAGAAAAAATTCCCACAATGGCAACTAAAAAAGCAAACATACAACAATGGCTGGCCTCAAAACAGATCGATTTTGATGAAACAATGGTCAAGGGTGAATTGATAAGTATAGTCAATAGACATAAATACAAATACGATTTTAAAATGATCGACCAAATGGCCAAAAAACGAAATAAAACTGTCTTGAGACTGCCACCCTACCATTGTGAGCTGAACCCTATTGAGCTGATTTGGGCCAACATAAAGCAATACGTGGCGTCGAATAATAATACGTATAAATTTTCTGATGTTAAAAATCTCTTTCACATCGCAGTCAATAGAGTTACGGCAGAGGAATGGAAAAACTGTATCCGCCACGTTCGGGAGAAGGTTGAGGTCAAAATGTGGGATTTGGACAATGTCATCGATACCCAAATTGAACCTCTAATAATTCATTTAAACGATTCAGAATATTCAAGTTCCTCTTCTGAATGAGTGCGCGCAGCTTACTTACTAATAACTAAAAAGTGTAGTTAACTCATTTGTGAATCTCTAACTGAAATTTACTGTAAAAGATAATAATTATCTTTTATGAAATTTTTGATGACTACCCATAATATCTTGATGCGGTCCTGTAATGTCTCCTGCGCCTAAACACTAACTCACGAGCAATATGCGTGTATTTGTTTGGGTTTAGTTTCTTTCTTCAGCGCCTAGAGTATAGGGAGTTTCATGAAAGTTCACGACTTAGCAAGGCTTCTTTATTCCGATCAACAGTACTGTCTCAATGGTGTACCTGTCTATATTATGTATGTATAGCTATAGGTCGACATAACTTGGCAACATTGTGGTTCAACAAGGGTCAAACCGTTGACTTTTGACAGTGACAGAGTTGCGTACCGTGTTTCGTGCTGTTGATTTTGTGTTATCCGTTTTTTAACCTTTATATATTGAATTCTTTTGAACATTACAATACAACAAAATGTCTGTAAAAAAGTGTCTTATTAAGGTGTGTTGAAACACAAGTATCAAATCGCCTGATAAAATATTCTTATCAGATCCGATAGATCTTGACACAAGGATTCATTGGTGCCAGGCTGCAAGTATTGAATTCCTACCACTATGTTATACGGTTGTGAAGATCATTTTGATGTAAGTTTACTAACAGAGCTAAAGTTTTTCAAATTATATTAAATCACGGTTTATTTTCAGTTGACAAATGATGCAGAAAACTGGCAATATTACAAGACATTTGGGCAGAGGTTACGACTAAAACCCGGCGTGAAACCACACAGGAACCTGTCAGTTCAGAGTTTAGGTACGTCACAATTATTGAGTCCACCATCAAAAAAGAGGAAAGCTGAGATATTAGAAACATTAGGAACAAAGCTTCACTTCAAGAGAAAAGCAAGGGCAAAATTATTTGATTAATTGCATCCAGGTACAAGCAGAGACCTGCATCATGATGAATCTTGCCAGAAAAACTCGACTATACTACCCCTGAAAAAAGCAACCAAAGGAGTCCAAGTTAAAGTTGACACGAAAACAGTGTCAACCAGCACACTACCTCATACTGCACAGGGATTTGTAGTGATAGCAGTAATGGCTCAAGTGGTAGTTCCTCCCCACAGCTATCAAGCACTTCATCAGGAAGCAATGGAGCAAGACAGAAGACACCAAAAGAGGAACTAGAAATATCTAAATTAGAGAACAATAGTCAGTTTTTCTCAGGTTTGCCTGAAGACTGTTTCTATATTGTAAATTTATTAGTTGAAGAAGGTGGACTGGATTACATTGATGTTTTGATCACAATGAAAAAAATTAGGACAAATGATCAGTTTTCAAGAATAGGAATTGATTTTGGTAAAAGCGCAAGTGCCATTTCTAAAATTTTTTAATAAAACTGTTGTAGTAATGGCTCCTTTAATGACACAGTTGATTGTTTGGCCTCCCAGTTGCAAAATCAAAAAATTAGTACCAAATCAATTTGAAGCCTATTACAACAATGTCAATGTCAATTATTGATTGCTTTGAAGTTGAAATCGAAAAACCTTCAAATGCACTGCATCAGGCTAAAACATGGAGTGAATATAAAAAGTGTAATATTATAAAGTATCTTGTGAGTTGTACTCCTAATGTGCTGATAAACTTTATTTCTAGTGGATTTGGAGGACGTACAACTGATCAACAAATTGTTGAGAAATCTGACTTCATTAATGTGATTCCAGAAAACTGCATAATAATGGCAGATAGAGGTTTCAAACACATAGAAACTATACTGCATAAAAAAAGCGCATCATTATTAAGACCGCCAAGCATTAGTGCGAAACAAAAACTCACCAAAGCAGAAGTTAATAAAACTAAAATAATAGCTGCTTTGAGAGTCCATATTGAACGGCTCATAAGGAGACACCGTGAATTTGCTATGTTAAAACCACATGCCTGTATAAGGTCCAGAATAGTCCACCTCCTAAACCATTTGGTGATCATTGTGTGTGGTTTAGTAAATTCATAAGAACGGCTCATCAAGAAATAAGTATTATTGCCATGCAAGTCTTGTTTTTTCCATATTTTAATAGTACATAACTGCAAGTGCGAGAATTTTTTGTGGTATATTAATACTAACACAGTGAATTTCTTGGCTACACATTGTGCACATCCATAAAGCTAAGTATGAATAATTATGTAAAACACCAATTTTTGCTTATGTAGGTTAAAATACTTGTATAGGACTTATTTGAGGCTGTTCTTTACATAATATAATTTTTTGGAGTATCTATAATTTTTTATTCCCCTTACTACACATTATCATTTAGAAACCTCAAAATAAATAAATTACTCGAACTTACCAACGCTCTGTGACATAAAAATAACTAATTATTTAGTAAAGTGTATTAAATGTTTGAAAAGCTTATTAGATCAACAATGTTATGGAATTCAGGATTATTTTAGCTGGTCAGCTGGTGGTATATATCAATATTTTTGTTCATCTACAAATACAATAAAACATTTGCAGCTACCTACTAATGTAAATAGTTAAAAAAACATTTCATGAATAAAATACTTTTTTAAATCATTATAAGTGCTTTATTCAATCAAACAAACACATAAAATAAATTGGACAAGAATATATGCATAATATAGACTAAATACATTTGCATAATGTATCACAGTTTGCAAATATTAATCATGCATTTTCTGATGATACCCGAATAGAATAAACTAGCAGCTTAACCCGGTGTTGTCTGGTTCAAAATATATTTTTCTATCTTATATAGTATATGTGCCCAAATCTTGTTACCATTAAGTGTATGTTGTATACATTGTTAACTGATTAATTCAGTTACTAAATCAATTTATTATAAATCAAATTTGAAGATAAAAATTTAAAAGTAGGTATTGAAAATATTAGTCTAATATAGTTTGATACATTTATATTAAATCCAGTACATGAAAGTTTATATCAAATATATATCAATACACACGAACAATTAAGTTGTCTTTTAATCGAATCTACAGGTAAATTGTTGACATTACAAGTTGAGTACATTACACTAGATCTATTGTATCAACAACAAAGTTGCTTTTTGCAGCAAATCTTTACAAAAAGAAATGTCAAGTTCAACTTCCATAATTGATACATCTTTATTTACTTTAAAATTTGGTGATGCAACACAAAATAATCCCTTCTTTCTACCCGACAATAGCATTTGGAGTTGAATTTGGGCAAAAGGTTTCTTACCTATGACTCCATCATTTAAGTAATGCTTAAGCGTCGATCCTTTTGATGGGCACTTTATTTCAATACAAAACTCTGCATTTACAGCTTCAGGGCTAGCTCCAAATATAGGATATCTCTTATCTACAAATATTCCTACTTTTTCTACTTTTATTAGTTTATTTCTTGCCACAACCTTCAATACTTTATCCTCTAATGATAATCCCCACTTCATAGCCTTTGTGGACTTGAATTTTGCAGCACCCAACATTGACTCCACTAAACATCCATCATATGCTGTGCTGCTTCATAAAACTTCGATGCAGTAACATGTGCATACCTTATCTCAAACCATGTACCAGTATTGGATTGATCTTTTGTTTGATTTAAAATTTCTTTACAAGGCTGATCATTCATTTCTTGCTGATAATACTGAATAAAATTTTCAGCAGTGATGCTGCTACTGTTTCTTACAAATTTATTTATTAAATGTTATAGGGATACTTTAACAATAGCATTCTCCTCAGTTTTGTAGTATTCAAATAACATGCATTTGCTTTTGTTTTCTAATCCTTCTTCTAGTAGTTTTTTTAAGAGAGAATTATTGTGTGATGTAACTGAGGGAACATTCTTAAATAGCTCGTTCAATTTTGCGGCTTTCAATGAAGAACCTACTTTTGCTAAAGTCGGTTTTCGCCAGTAGCACTCAACACTTGTTACAGAAGGTTCTGTAGAACGTCGTAGTAGCCAAAACATCAGAGCTACACCATGCTTGCACCCTCCTAGAAATTAAAATATAGTATATTATAAAGTCACAAGGAATTATTAAACTCAATACCTTCACTAGCTGGGCAGCTATGACACACACTATGTGTAATCTTCTCTTCAGCCTCATTAATGCAGATTGTCACCTGATATCCTTTTTCGTGGATCTTGTGTTCTGGAGTTACTTGGCACTTTACAGTACATATTGATCCCTCTCGCATCAGCTGGACAAATCCGATAGCTTCATCCCCATACGATTGCTTGCAACTTCTAGGAACAAAATGGTTATTAAAATATATTTCCTCACAGTCGGAAAAGTACCCACCTTTGTGTTTTCACATTTCTCACATTTGCTTTGACAAAGTCTTCATTGTGTCGATAGTATTCATCGATCATCTCGTAATCTACTTTCGGTAAATCCGAAGAATCTGCTTTCACGAAGTTTTGTTCCAAATTTTAATTGTGTATTAATTTAAAAAGCTAAATTCCAAATCAGTCACTGCGCACGCTGCACAAACTAAATCACAATACCAAATCATCAACAACAACGCCAGAATGCATCATAACCTTTAAATTATCTGTCAAAAAAGCAAAGACACAGAACGCTCCGGACGAGTCTGTAGAACAAAATGGGAATATCTGCTGTCCTTGTCACACTGTAATCGCCGAACAAATGTAGAGTCACATTCTAAGAAGGGGGCGGAGAAAATATTACTACGTCACGCCAGATATTAATACGTCACACACTTGGCGGCAAATTTTATTTTTAAACTTTTAAGAGGAGTTTTTGTTACTTCTTGTTCAAATGAAAATGTAAAATTACTCAATATATAATTTTTAGATGTAGAACTTCAATTTGGAACCAAAAATTTTTTTTTGGAAAATACCCCATTGCGCGTAATTCAAAAGCGGTTTGACTGTATACTGAGTGCTTTGTACCATCCTGACACAAGCCCACTGTTCGTCCCCTATCAAACTCGTTAGGTTATAAACAATTTTCTCGCTTTCTCACTCTATCCATGATGAATAGATTAAATTAGCTCTTCACAAGGTATTTGTACGACGATCACATGCCAATTGTATCTACAAAACACAACTTTCTGTTACTTTTTACGTAAAAACAGACCATATCACAAAATCCATTCGCTTGTCTTCAGTACTTAACTAAACAAGAATATATCTAGAAACTCTTTGTAATGAATTCATTATTGCTGAGTTTTCCTCTTCTAATGTCACAGGTACAGATACACATGCTCATAAAATAGCATGCCTATGAGAATGCTTGAAAATGGCATGCTCTTGAAACTGATACAGTTGCTTGTGTTTAGCATGCTTGTTTAGAGCATGCTCTTCTCGATCTTGCTCAAAGCAAACACTCCGAATACATACGCTATTTAATAACAAGCTTTCTGTCAGTGTTCCAGTGCAAAAATGGAAAACCAAGTGCTCAGAAGAAGCATGCTTATTTCTAGTAACAGTAGCAATTGCTCATTAATAGCATGCTTATGTGCTAGATTTGAGCACGTGTATCTGTACCTTAAGTGTATGTGGAACTGCGCATATAAAGTTACTCTCCTGTAATTGACTCAGCAACTGACCCTCTCACTTTTGAGTTCCCAATGCAGTAAGAAGTGCAATAAGAATGTCCAGATGGTATAAGCATTGATACTGTACATGAGCGATTTTATAAAACAAATTTACTATAAAAATGCCTCAAGCAATGCCTAGTTTCACTTGTAGTTGACACCCCCTTAAAATGAACTGAGGTAGTGCTTCCACTCTTAACTTTTTTTGGTGGTAACCATATGTATTTAAGCTATTTGAGTTGAAGAGGCGGTGAAAATGTTCTTTGATGTTTACATGGGAATTGAATAGTGAAACAGTTATCTTTGAACTGAATACTTAGTTAGTTATCCTTGAAACAAACTGTACATTCAAAGTTTAAGTCGGAGATCGCCATGGATTTTCGACTGTGTTAATCAAGTTATATAAATAGGTAGCCAAGAATAGTATGCCTGCACTTACCATCAAAGCCCCATTTCTCGTTCCTTCTTCTGTATGTTTTATTAGTGTATACTTTGGCTACTTTATTATGATCTATCCTGTTTCTTCGGGAATCATTTGAATTCTGGCTGACTTTCACGATGTTTTTCTTTATGGACTCATAATTATGTGCAGGTGGCTGGTTTTGGTAGTACCTCTCATCTAAGGCAACCGATTTGTCTGACTCCGAATCTGAACTGGACCCATTATCAAAGTGTATTTGACTTAGTTTGTCGAATCCCACATTGCAAACCTCACTCTACAATTTTTAAATATTAAGCTTGTGATAGAATAACTTAGGTCCATAACTATATCACTAACACGGTTTCGTTTTCAAAAATAGAAAGCAAAAACTGCTTAATATCTTCAAAAAAAATTTTATTGGATAATGAAACGAGAGCTAGGTATATGCATTTTTCTGTACATGTGGGATTATTTTTTCAATTATCCATTTGTTATTCGTTCATTTAATTTCATATTTTGTGCAGACAGTAGTTTAAATGTTTTATGGACCTAAATATGGTTTCTGTCTTCTGTTATTTCAACTTCTTTCATACGCTACCCGTATGGTGAAGTATTGCACTCGAGGGTTGTCATCTTCTAACGACTACTGAGTGTATGCATTGCCTTTAAAATCGTAACAGAAAGTAACATATATTGTTCTTAGGAATAATAGTCCACTTACCTGTATTTCAGATAGTATATCCATGTTATCTCGATAACTCACTGCACAGTACTGTGTAAGTCATTTCAATTTTGTTCATAATATCACATCACTTATAAGCTTTGTTCGATACAGGTCAGGTTATTCTACATACTCTACTGATTATTCCTATAGCAGATTAATAATAATGGTATGTAATGACTTTTTATAATATCCTCTAGCAACGTTATCCTTATCAGCAAAAAATCAGGACAGGTATGTTTGGGTAAGCGACTGATATACAGGGTGTTCCTTAATAATATGAGAATATTTAAGAGTGTGAATCCACATGAAAAATTAATGTTAGTCTGCTTTATAAACTATGGTCCAAAAATGTGTCCTTACAAAAACTCGGGGTGTTGAAGTTTTAAAAAAAAAATGGAAATTAATTAACGTCTTCAGAACCGCTTCAGATACTTCACTGATATTTAGTGAATGTTAATAAAGTTGCATATGTTTCAATGCTAAAACTATTTTTATCTTTAACAGTAGCGTGCGTACGGGTATTGACTTCGATATTTTTTAAGAAAAAAATTGTGCGCCAATGGTTTTTTGCCAAATAAAAATTATTTTTGAATTCCCCGTTCAATTTAAAACAAATGATCTGCCGTTTTCGAGTAAAAAAAATAAAAACCGTTCTATTGTCCGAGAAAATTAATGTAATAATTGAAGAATGCAGTTTAGCAATAAATATCTAGTTGCTCTGGAATATATCACTGGCATTTGACATCTCACAAGTCTCTGTTATTCAAATCTGTTCGCTGTGACATCTTTTTCATTATTTATTTTTAACAATCTTGTTAATAATGATGAATTATTCAAATGCAGAAATGGCGGAAATGTATTACGTGTATGGCCTTGCCGACGGTAATGGTGAGCAAGCCAGACGGATTTATAACCAGAGATGTCCCGATCGTGCTTTGCAAGATAGTCGAACCTTTTCTAATATTCATCGCCGTCTTGTTGAAACTGGTTCTGTCCGAAAAGGAACATCTGGAGGTAGACCACTAAGTGTGAAAACACCTGAAATTGAGGAAGCAGTGCAGCACGAAGTCGAAGAATATCCTGAAACGAGTACGAGGAAGATCGTTAGACTCTTATATATTTGCCATCAAATTGTTTGGAGAATTTTAGTGGATTTTTTGTTATATATACTAAGTGACATATAAATCCGAACACCCAGTTTAAATGGTTTTATTTTAATAAAAGTTGGTGAATGTATTTATCTTGTAAATAACAAGTGGAATATTTTTCAGCCTTATCAGTTGGACATTCCGGTTTTTATACTGCTTTTTTTAATTCACTAACGCTCTAAAAATGAATATTTCAGCCGCAGTAAAGAATCAACGTTGGCGGATTTTGGTTCCTGACATCCTTTACGATCGGTTACGATGCCTAGAGTACGTAGACCTGTACAATTTCGTCAACTTAGTGAGTTTGATAGGGGCCGTATAGTGGGACTTCGGCAAGCTGGACTTTCTTTTCGGGCAATTGCAGTTAGAGTGCAAAGAAGTGTATACACTGTGGTTAGGTGATGTCAGGCATGGCTTCGAGAAGGCCGTACGCAAAGAGCAAGGGGCACTGGACGCCGCCGTAGAACAACAGACCGTGAAGATCGCCGCCTAAGATTATTGGCCTTAAGGGACCGTTTCTCCACTACCAGGTCCATTGCAAATGAATGGTTTGCAGAACACGGAAGACCTATTGGCATGCGAAGTGTTTACCGGCGAATGAGAAGTTTTGGCTTGTTTTCATACCGGCCACACTGGGTCCTCCCTTTAACTCGAGAACACCGACGTAATCGCCTTGAGTGGTGCAGACAACGGTCACTCTGGGATCGGGAATGGAACAGTATTAATTGTCTTTAGTGATGAGTCTCGATTTTGTTTAGGCATGCACGATGGTCGTGTCAGGCTTAGAAGGCGACGTGGTGAAAGGAGGAATCCACAGTTTTTTGTTGAAAGACATGTTCATCACACTGTTGGAGTTATGGTTTGGGGTGCTATAGCTTATGGTTTCAGGTCACCTTTAATCTTCATCAGAGGTAACATGAACGCGCAGCGTTATATCCACGAAGTTCTAGAACACCATCTTTTACCCTATCTTGACACCCTGGCAGATCCAACTTTCCAACAAGATAATGCCCGACCACATATTGCAAGAGTCACAATAGACTTCTTTCAACATAATGATGTCACATTGGTACCATGGCCACCAAGATCTCCCGACTTATCCCCAATTGAGCACGTGTGGGACATGATGGGTAGGAGATTGCTCAATTTGCAACGTCCTCCTCAGACTCTAGAAGCACTTCGAGAGGAGTTGGTGGTTGCCTGGAATGAGATACCACAGGAGGACATTGACCACCTGATCAGAAGCATGCCTAGGCACGTTGGAGAATGCGTAGTACATCAGCGTGCATCCACACATTATTAAAGGTCAAAGGGCTTTAAAGCAGTGCAATCATTTTGAAATTTTTATCATTTACTTATTATGCTTCATTAAGTACTTATACAAAATTTTATTAAAATAAAACCATTTAAACTGGGTGTTCGGATTTATATGTCACTTAGTATACTTACCATATTTTAAGAGTACAGGCATTACTTCCCATTGATTTTCCAAAGCATGTGACCTTTTGTCAGTGGTATCTTCAAAAAATTAAACAAAATCCGCAACTTGAAGCAATGATTCTGTTCAGGGACGAAGCTAATTTTTCTCGAAATGCCATTCAGAATTTCCACAATAGTCATTTGTGGGCAGAAGAAAATCCCTATGCCGTAACCGAAATCAATTTCCAACACCAAGTTTCGGTTAACGTATGGGCTGGAATTATTGGCAACCACTTTATTGGCCCATTCTTCTTGCCGGGACGACTTGACGGACAGACCTACCTCAATTTTCTTCAACAACAGTTGCCTTTGTTGCCTGATGATGTTCCGTTAGTAATAAGAAACAATATGTGGTACATGCATGATGGTACACCAGCGCATTTCAGTGTAGCGGTTCGTAATTATTTACAAACTTTTCATCCAAATCGTAGGATTGGCTGCGGTGGGCCTCAAGAATGGCCACCAAGGTCCCCAGACCTCAACAATTTAGATTTCTTTTTATGGAGCTTAAGATACTAGTGTACACAAGTCCAATCAACACCGCAGAGGCATTAAGAGAAAGACTGGTTGCAGCTTGTGATCGAATAAAAAACACTCCAGGATTATTTCAACCAGTTCGCAATTCCATGAGAAGGAGGGCGGAAGCATGCAAACTAAGTGAAGGGGGCCATTTTCAACAATTTTTGTAATCATTCTGTTGGTTTTAATGTTATGTTTATGTTATCAGTTGTTGTTGTTCATTACCCCTAATGTGTTTGATTTTTCCAATTAAATTAATAATAATTTTGAAAGTTAGGCGATAGAACGGTTTTTACTTTTTTACTCAAAAATGGCGCATCAAAAGAAAACAGCTCCAGAGAGATCATTTGTTTTAAATTGAACTGGAAATTCAAAAATAGTTTTTATTAGGCAAAAAACCATTGACGTACCATTTTTTTCTTAAAAAATATCGAAGTCAATACCCTCACGCATGCCACTGTTAAAGCAAAAAATTATTTTTGCATCGAAAAATATGCAACTTTATTAACATTCACTACGTACCGAATATTAGTGAAATATCTGAAGGGGTTCTGAAAATATTAATTAATTTCAATTTTTTTCCTAAAACTTTTCCTTTTTAAACTTCAACACCCCGAGTCTTTGTAAGGAAACATTTTTGGACCATAGTTTATGAAGCAAACTAACATTAATTTTTCATGTAGATTCACACCCTCAAAATATTCGCATACCATTCAGGAACACCCTGTTTAGAGGATAGACAATGCCGTTCATTCATGATTATGTATTTGTCCATTTTCCAACATTGCTTGGTAGCCAGCGGGACTGATGAGGAAAACAAAATGGCTACCGCAGTGAAAGGGATGACAGTTCAACCAGTGATGCATCATAATATCAAGTTTTTAATTTTAGTTGCCGGTCAAGAGACAACCCTTCCGCTTCAAGCTGCTGACTGTTTACCGTGCAAACACATCACCGGAGCACCATGGTCAACAAAAGATAATGCTCGCATACACAATAAATGCAAATTATGAATGAAACTAGGTATAGTAAGAAAATAGCCCAACGTTGCCAAACTTCTGGCAAAGTTTTTGATATAGGTACGCTGCTCTTGGAACTGTTACGTTATTCGCATGAACACTGCTTCAGATCCATGGTCGCCGCTGCGGCGTCATGCCCTTTAGCGGCATATGTATTTTGGATGAAGCTGTGCTCATTTTTAAAGTGTGTACAACTACAATATACGACAACATTCGTTTGTTCGGTGTTCCACCTGTGAATGATGACAACAGGATAAAGTACCACTACAGCAACATTCCAATGTTTGAAGTGGAAACCGGTATCTCTATCCCTATTTATTGCTAATGGTCCGCAGGGTAATTAAGTTAAGAAGCTATATACTGACAAATGAAAAACTTGCTGACTAGATAACTGCTAGCATACAAATAGTTCATCCCGCGTTTGTTTGCTGTGAGCGTCACTCATCGCGTCTGTGTATAGCCTAGTTTCCCATCTATTATATGTGATATACTTCACCAAGCAAAGATTTTTCTTTTTTGTGTCTCACATTTTGAAAATTCAGCAAATTGCATATGTTATTTCCAGGATAATTGAGAAAAAATCAATGGGGAATTGATTTCTCGCTTTGCATACCTACATCTGAGGTGACTGTATTTGAGACAAGAAGCCAAGGGAAGCGTCATCAACACAGATTAATAGCATAAAACTCCTCACTAAGCTCCTAGGTACTGCCAGTTCTTTCCAGCTATAGTATACAACTTAAATGTAAAATTAATATAAAAAAGACTTACTTCAACGACTGGCGATAAATATTTGATAATAAAAATGGAAGTCTCTTTCATCGTGCCTTGTGTCGTAATTTCTAACGCTTTTTTTTGGTTCTAGAAGCTCACATGTGACCTTAAAATCACCGAAACGTCATATTTTTAATAAATGTCTAAAGTTGACCGAACTCAAAGAATCTATAGCTTGATGTGGCAGATGAAATATACGTGAAAACCCTAAACGTAGATAATGATGATGATGATGCAAGCAGAAACCTCAAATCCGACCGCACGGCATTCTAAGATTTTTTGACAGTCGTGACTGTACTTGACATTCCGAATTAGTATAAGGAGCTTTATTCGTCTGTAACAATGGAAGAAAATATGGAAATTTAGGCTAGCCCAGCTCTGTACTATGTTGAGGTTTACTACAAGGACACCTTCAAGATTGCCTGTGTATTTGTGATCTGGTGGAAAACTTGTTGCGTGAGAGGATCGAATGTCTAGATTTCGAATGGAAGTCAGTTTAATGCTTTAAAAGGTTTCATGTGGCTATTTCGTATATTAGATGTTGCTCCAAGACACTTCACTATGTTTTAACGGGTACACTCAAGTATTTTGTTACATTGTAGGAGTCGCATAGTCAGAGGCCTAACTACAGCGGCATAGTGACTGCTTTAGGCAACTTAAAGACGTCTTGTTATTCCGAGTTTTGAACTGTCTAAAGTTATCAGAGCTGGGAAAACCTTATTCTCACTGTTCCACAGTCCGACTTCCTTGAATTGATGGAGCGGTCGGACAGGCCAATCCTCGATGTACGAAGTAAAACAGTGTTGGTATTGGTGGCAGAAGCCTGACCGATAGCAGGTTTAACGCACGACATCACCTCTCATATTTCCACAAGGATTCGATCACCTACAGCAACAGAAAAAAAATAGAAACTAAGCCCACATCAGTAGGAATCAAGTCCGGAACAGAAGCTTCATTGATGTCGAGCATCCGTCCTATGTCTGAATATCACTTCCCACATAATGTACCCTTTGAATCGATAGCACTCGGGCGTTAAAGGAGACGTCTGTGGTGGAGTTGACATCAAATATTTTGGTGAGCATTTCTTTCTTAGCCCTTTATTTGCGCTCGTTCCAACCTGGCACATAAGCTTTGGAAGGCTACCTTTTGGCCAGCGTCCAGAAAATCTGATTGCCATTGCGCTGCGATATTGCCTTATGCCCAAATATTGCATTGCATTTGGCATTGTGAACCTTATCATTATATCTGTTTCTAGAATCGACGTTGGCTTATCATCTGTTGTCTACAGTGGGGTTTTGTAAGGAGGTTATGCGATTCTGCTTTATAATCATGGAATCATCAGCATGAAGGATAACTTTTTAATACTACTTTAACCAAACTTCTGCACTAAATTCAGTGCATCAAATTTAAACTTTCACTCTCATTCTGTAAGCGGTCTGCCTAAGAGCCTTCCGCCCCATTGGCACCAACTTTCGCAGTTAAATGACTCCATCGATTGTGGCTAGCTTTTACACCAAAAGCTCTTGCTATGTGGCAACTGCTCGTTCCAAAAAGAAAAGTACACCCTTTAGCTGCTACCTGGAAAAAATATCCACTGTAAAATACATAGAAGTAATATCCCACAACATTCGCAGCTCAAAGTGGCGGCGGAGAACTGAGTAAACTTCTAAAATGCGGGACGCTTTCATAACTGCGCCACAAACTAACGAACAGACAGCCGGTATTCGGCAAACAGCTTAGTCGGGATCGCTGTTTGAACAATACTACTCGCTACACGAAGGACTTTTGTTGTGAGCTAGAACTATGGCGATTTGTGGAAGCTCAAAGGAAAAGTCTACAGCTGCAGATATTTATGTTATTTTCATGCTGTCATTTAGCTTAATCGCATATCAATGATCGTTACATTTAATCAGTATTATACGGATACTTTGAAACATCCAGAAGCCCCAAACTCAAGTGAATGTAATATAAAGCAGATTTGGCATATGGACTTGTTCTTGGTTGTGTTTTGAATCAGCTAGCATTGAAAGCCGTTTTCCATTATTTATATCATACTCAATAAGGGTGGTTACATTAAGGATAGCTAAATGGCGAGCTGTGATCAATATTTTATTTCTCACGTATTCTCAAACAATTCCGAATATAAACATCAGCTGTCAAACTGACATAACGCAGAAAACAGCATACAGTTTTAAGAAGCATCATTAGTTACCTCTTAGGCCCGGTTTTTCAATCGCAAGTTAACTTTTTGGTTAGTTAACTATCGCCAGGAAGTTAACTTGTAGCTACTTGCAAATGTGTTTTTCAAGTATTTTGACAGCGTCAGCTAACTTACGAGAAGTTCAACATATATTTATGTTACAGCCCTGTATCTGCGGTTCTTAGGTATAGTGTTCTATGTGTTTTGTGCGCTCGGCATCTGTGTCCCGTGTCATACGTCATACATGACAGTTCGATTGAATTAAATTCCTTAAAGCAGCCAAAATCGAAATCCGGAAATTTCATTAAAAACGAATAAAACATAAAACCTTCGTCAAGTAAGGTAAGTTTTTTCAAACATTGCTCGTACAAATCTTTAGTAGTAGACCCTACAGACGGCATTATATAAATGGTGATAAAAAAGTTTGCAAATGCAATGTCTAATGAACCATACGAAGGTCCAAAAACGATTAAGTTGTAAATATCTGATGAATATCGTATTTTCCACCTTTTTTAATATCACTCGCATTTTTGAAGATAATAAACTGTTTTCAGAAAATCATGTTTATTTTCATTCTGTAGTTACAATAAATAGGGGATAATTCATGTCAAATAGATGCGAGCTATGGCGAAAAATTTAGGTGTTTAAAAAGATCGACTGAGTGCTCATTTTGAGGCTTGGGACATCTATTTTCAAGTGCCGTGTGCGCCTTTTTTGGGCACCAACAATTTTGGCCACAACTCTTATTCACTTGCCATGGATTATCACAGATCTTATACTAAACAACTTTCATCTAGCATCGAGTCATTCACTGAGCATCAGTGAATGTATTGAATCGATTTACAAATTTGCAAAATAATTATTAATATGGTAAGTTCTAACATTGTTGATTGCATTTTTTGGCAACCTAATATTTACAGGATCTGCCTTCACATTATCTACATGAACGATGTTAATAGCATTTACCTGTTCAGGACTAATAAGGGCATAGCTTCATTATCAGGACAAGCAATATTATGTAGCACTGCTGTTCCTAGAGTAACTGATTGAACTGTATCTAGATGAACACTGAGACCCATAGCTCGACATGGAAATCTTCTTTTCTAAACTCCATAGCTTCTCTCTAAAACATTGCGACTACGAATGATAGATTCATTGTATAATTCTTCAGCAGGAGTTGTAGTTGTATTTAATGGTGTCATCAAATAGCATTTAATAGGATAACCTTTGTCACCAGCCAACAAAGAGTTTCCAAAGTGAGCTGATTCAAATTGTCTGCAGAGCTGAGAATTTCCGAAAATGTATGAATCTGCGTCAGAAACAGTTCGATTTCTGAAGAGCTCTGCATGGCTTCCTCCGGAAGAAACAATTTTTATATGCGTGCAGTCAATTGCACATATGCATTGAGGAAACCTAGCTATATCATTTATAAAAGGATTGCTTTGCCCTGGCAAGAGCCTCAAGAGTTTCCAGCATTTTTATGTGATTACTTCTTTTACTCGTTTGTACTTTTAAGAATCTTCGGAATGTTTTGGGTGCAGTTGATTTGGAAACCCCAGCGAAGTTTCCAGCAACAGTTAAAAAACGTCCATTGTGCAGTGCTAACAACAGCTGCTGTTGGGGCGTTAAGCAGTTATTCCTGGAATGACAAAGTCATGGAAAATATGGAAATAAACAATAATATATACATCTACCTGCTTGCAGGATATACTAAATCTTCATAGACCTCGTCCAGGGGAATTTCTACAGTCCTTTTTGTAAGACGAAATCTTGCAAGGAAATCGAGGTCATCAAATTCATCAAAGTAATTCGGCCGATTATTTTTGGCCTTCTCGCGTCTTCGTCACTGCTATACGCATTCACGTCGTAATCCATAAACATGTTTATAGCTTAAATAAATCGATAGATTGATATCGATTTGTTGTGATTTTTTGAATAAACGCCAAAGTTTATGTCAAAAAACGTCAGGTATTGCTATTTTCTAGTTAACTCATAGATGGTCTTCTCGTTAAGGTTAACTTCCGTTTTACTATAAACATGATATTGAAAAACGCTTTTTCATAAATAAGTCAAGACCAAGGTCGTAGTTAACCTGCGATTGAAAAACCGGGCCTAAGTGTTTTTGTTATGAATATCCATCGAGGGCGAGTGTATAGCTTAGGCAAAAACTAGTATTTATAGTTTTCTATGTTTTTATTTTCGGCCAAGGTGGCCGACCTTGATTACGGAAAGAAGTAAAATACAATAACAAATGAACATAGTTTTCGTGAATCATGATTTTTTATTTGCTTCCTCAACGTGTTTTACATAACATTTGTCCGACAGCTCATACGTAGACATTTCGCAAAGCTATGAAGCCAAATGGTGACATTTACATGCTATTGAATCAAAGGTGTCATATGTCAATTTACAAAATAGCTTTCAAATACATAAAATTTCATTTAAAACTGGCATATATGGTAAAAACGAAAATTACATGGCAAATGGCACAGATCTACTAAGATACTTATTCTCCCAATTTTGTGAAATAACTAAAAATCGGCAGTGTCATCTCCTGGGCCTCCTCAAATGTAAACAATATAGATCTTACTTGTTATAAAACGATTAAATTGTTGTGGGTAGACTTTCAACAGTATTCTATTCACATTTATTCGTCAAATATCCGTATAGCGTCTTCAATCAGTCCTTCAACCCTGGTCCTGAAGGGGTCATAATACCAAATCTTTTCAAGTTCATCCTTTCTATCACCAGTGAAAAATTTTCTGGACCTCACTTTATCACTCATCATCTCTGTCTTGAATTCATCTGGCATCAGTAGGAATTGCCCGTACATCAAAGCTGTGCATATAATACTAGGTTCTGCTTCTCGACATGAGTCTTTCAGCTGCTCCAGCGTGAATATGTTTCCAGCGTCAATTTCGTAAGAACTTAAGATATTAGTTAATTCCTTGTAGTACACTTCGATCAGATCCTTGACATGTTTTAGTCTTGAGGTACGGTCTGTATTGGCGTAAAGAAGGAACATAAGGTCTACTGATGGAGAACAGTACCTTGTCAGCTGGAAGTCTATGAGGTACGCAGAGGAAGTTCGAGTTGCTTGATCTTCTTTGTACATGACGTTGGCTGAAAATATAGCAAAAATTTCACAAAACAAATATTCAAACATCATTGAGATGATACAAATAAACTTTTTGAAATACTTTGGTAACATTTAAATCTAACACCCTTCATTACAAGTTTGTATTTAGCTTAACCTATTAGTCGTTATTTAAGTATGTGTGGGGCAAATGTTGAAACAACAAGTTCAGCTGAAATTTTCTTTGCACGTTTTGTTCGCGTGACAAAACTGATGAATTGAATGACGCCATTTTGAATCCTATAAGGCGGGTGTTACAAATCATCGATTTATCATTTATAAAGTATGGGTATAAAATGAAGGAACGGAAGAGAGAATAATCAAAGTGACGCCATGCTTAATCCAATATGGCGGACACCGCAGAATGGCGATTTATAACTCCCATAGTCACCCCTTTAACATGGGTGTCAGATGAAGGAGCTGAGTCAGAGGAACGCAACAAACAAATTGACATCATCAAAATAACGATTTATTATTATCACCGTGAGCCCGTATGATATATAACTCAAACCCATCGAATAAGGACGTTTTGATTTTTGATTGGTGATCTGGTCCAATTATTAAGTTAGTTAACGATTATATAAAATAGATGCTCGTCTATTGTAAATATGTCAAATTGCTTGAACAGGTGTCCGTTCATATACAGCGTAATGCATTTTAACAGCCAGAGCGGAGAACTGTGTAACACTCCGTTATTTGTACATTTGAGGCGATGGAGCTTCATTACCGTTTAAAAGTTATGAAGTTTTGAATTTTTGTCTAATTTATATTAAACTGAAATAAACATATTATGTCGCTTGTACTATAGCCCTTAACTATCGTTTAGATCATCGTAGCCTATGAACATAGCCCAAAGAAGCGTCCGACTATATTATGCTCCATTTGGGCTTTTAAGTACAATTTCCATCGTCACAGCCATGATGCCAAGCATCGTAGTTATGCCCGGTTTTCGCCGTCTTGCTGATTTAAGGCTAAGTAAACTCTTATTTTCGAAATTTGAGCTTAAGTAGATACAAAATTCGTATCTGACCTAACCGAGGGAGCTGGGTGTCGCCTTGCTGGGTAGCTGGTCTGACAGAAGGGTAGTACTACCGTAATTACAAATTTCCCAATAACAAAACGCCTTTCACTGATAATACCAACATCTACAAATCTCAACCCCATATAAACGTCAATACTTAGTTTCCAACCGCTCCAGAAATTGTTCTGAGAATGATCAAAAGCCGCTAAAACATCAAAGAACAAAGTTTTAGCGAATCTTATTCTTTATATCCCGTAACTCCGCCGTCATTGGTTTTGGATCTATTCTCAAAAACTACATTGCTTTTTGGTCCTTGGCACAGTGGTAACCGTTTGTAAAAGTTTCATCAGCATGTAAGCGGTGTTGTGTCCTGATCTTATACGGTGAAGTTGACAGAAGACCGCTACGTCTCTGGCTCATAACTCCTTGACATTTTGCCCTATGGACAGATAAATGGTGCGCCAGCATTACGGTTGATCCGTCAAGGAGTCGGAATAATACGCATTCACAGAGCAAATTAGCAATGACTTTGTGGACGTATATGCATAAAAGAAAGCAAACTCAAATAGACATGTTGCTTTCCGTTTCTGTAACTATGACCGACAGAAGATGTTTCGTGCTCGTTAGCAACTCATCAGTGCGGTATAGCTCTAGACCTGGAGACAAACAAATAGAAAGCGGAAATGGATTCAAAACATTGTGCGCAAGTACGAGCCCCTTCCCACTTCAGTTGACCCAACTATTGAAATCTTAGTTTTTTTTCTTATCAAACACAAATAGTAAAAATGTAGCACGGTGTTATAGGTTTAAAATATTAACAATGAATATTTTGATAATATAAACTACATCACTGCTTATCAAGTGAGTATAAAGAATATAGCCTAAGCAATTTTAAAAAAGGTTAAAGATGAGTTAAAGCAGTCGGATGGCTAAAATTTTACTTTATGCATATCCACAGGTAATTGATTGTTTCCTTTCTCTGATAAGTGTTATATTCTAAGTTTTTTTTTCCTCTCTCTCTATAGTTTGTGTCAATGTTTTCCAGGTCGGGTTGAAAAACAGCATAAGCTGACACTCCACCTTTTCGTCACTGTTCCTTTTAAACCAATTATTTTGTAATCGTGTGACGAATAAAGGCCATTTATTATTATTATTATATATAGTAGAAAACACCAGCTTCATCACTCCCTAATCAAATTTGCAGCATAAAAATAACACATGTTGCAATTAGAGCATATCAACCTATTTTCATTTCAATGCAAAATAAGACTATAACGCATAGGTGGCTGTGAAAAATAAAATCCATGACAATCGTTTTTATTAACCACAGCTGTCAGAATACGTTTAAAATAGTTTTGGGTAGTTAAGGTTTTCAAAATGGGTAGAGGAAAGGTTATTAGTGAGAAAATGCAGGTACCGATAATTCAATTTTTTAATTCCGGGAAATCAAACTCAGAAATTGCAACTTTGTTAGGCTTATCGCGGTGCAGTGTGAGAAATATTGTTAGAAGATATAACGTAACTGGTTCAGTTAATATTAAGCCAGGATATGTGAAAAAAAAGTAATATCACAAATGCCGACCGAAGAGAATTAAGAAGAATAATCGTGAAAAACAGGCGGCCAATTATTTAAAATTAAGTGATCTGTGGAGTGACGCTGTTGGAAGGAGAATTTCGAGGTCCACAAGTCATAGAGAGGCCCACAAGCGGGGATTTAGCACTTGCAAGGTAAGTTTTCTTATAAAAAAAATGAAGTGAAAACCCTAAAGTTGCACAACTTGTTTATAGACCAAAGAAAAGCCACTATTAACTCTACTGCAAAAGAAAAATCTGCTTAGATGGGCTAAAGAACATAGACGATGGACACCTCAGCAATGTTGTGCAATACAATGGAGTGTTGAGGCCCGATTTGAAGTTTGTGTTGGTGACAGTCGCAGTAGAGTTATTCGCAAAAAAATGAAGCATTCCATATTGACTGTCTGAAGAGATAAGTGAAATTTCCAGCATCCAGTATGGTTTGGGGCAGTATGTCATCAAAAGGAGTAGGAAAACTTCATTTTATTGAGGGAAATGTGGATTCAGAGAAATATTTCGCAACTTTAGAAGCATCGCTTTTACCAGTGATGGAAGAATGTTTGACATCCGGCCAAGATTTTGTGTTTCAGCAAGATGGTGCAGCGTGTCATACCTCAAAAAAGGCTATAAAATGGATGGAAGAAAATAATGTACCAGTTTTGAAATGTGAAATGTGAAAGAATTTCAGCCGCAATAAAAAATAAACGTGATGTTACCCAATGGTAATCTTTCAATTGTTGCTTTGTTAACGTCGCGCATTTATTCGCACATTGTTTATTTGTTCAGATGTTCTATTAGTTATAGGTCTAAGTGATTTCAAATATGTATTTTTTATGACTAGAGTGTATCTAAAATGTTTTTGAGAAAATAAATTGTTTTAGAAGTAAATAGTTTCGTCATGTTTAGTTTATAATGGTATATTTTGGTACAAATCTTGAAGTGGGCCAACTGAAGTGGGAAGGGGCTCGTAGATGAAAATCCCCGTAAAAATCTGACTATCGCCAACATACGGTAATGGTGAAAGAGGCCAGCGCTTTCTGCGTTTCGTTATGGTTACAGAGATGGAAAGCAAATATATTCCATGGAATGAGGATGTATTGTATAATCAGCTTGGCAATACATTGGTAGGAGACGATCGTCATGTTTTCACTGATTTGCGCTCAATGTTTTGAGATCTTACCTACCATGTTTGCTTCCCGTTTGTCTGTTTCTAGGACTAGAACTTTACCAGCACCGATGACTTGCTAACGAGCACGAAACATCGTTATTTGGGGTTGGTCATTGTTACAGAGGCGGAAAGCAAATATTTCCAATTCAGTTAGCTAGCGAACAGAAAGATCGACGGAAAAGACATACATGATTTTGCGTCACTTTTGAAAATTTTCGCGAATACTTCTCGCCAGTTGGTGTACAAAGTAAGGGCGCCTTCTTCTTTGAGATGGATATTTGTCGCATTCCCTGTCACTTGTTGAGTCCGTATGACATGATCAAATTTTTCATATATATTGTACAATAAATTGAATGAATGTGCCGCACCATTACTGTATACTTTGACATTCACTTAGGATGTGTTCTTAATCTTGGCATTGATAGTGCCTACATTGCAAAATATATCTGCGACTTCGTTCTCTCAACAAAATGAGATTGTGTTTACACAACAAAGCCTTCACCGATATTTTTCATGTGGTATTTTTCAGTTGACAAAATTTCAAAAGATAGATTACAGTTGACTGCGAAGGAATTTTTAACAAAGTACATAATTAATAAATCAAACCATATCTCACACACCCCCGCATCCCAATTTCTATTGTCAACCACGTTAGCCACGGTAAGCTGTTTATGTATAGAATCTTAAAACACTCTAGAGAACAATGTTTGCTGTACAGAATTGTCAACAAAGTACTGGCAGAAATGATGACAAGTAACTCGTTTGGTTTCTGATTGTTATGAATACGCACGTCCTTGTCCAATATTTGTAACAAAATATTTAATCATTGAAACGGCGAGAACAGCCAAGCATGTTTATTGTTTTTTGCCCAAAGTGTTTTCGAAGAAATAAGATGAAAAATTTGATCGTGGCATACGAGCTTTAGGGCTGCCAGGGCAAGTATGGCATTTTGACAAAAAAGACTCGTATCCAGAGAATGGACAGCATTTTTTTATTGGAATGCCTTATTCACCGGCTATTTATGACCGTCAATCCTAGACGACTTGAAGTAATATTCTCTTAGTCTGTAATAGTAGAATAAGGTATCGCAAAACCTTGTTTACCTTAAAAATTAGATATTTTTTCCTTGGCAGCCACTTACCTCCCCACATGTCTCCATGACTGTAAACATTCCTTATCTTATCAGATTTTTGTACGAGTACATATATCCTGTCAGATGCCTCGTAGATCTTCTCCTTAAGTGTATCAAGTCTTCCACCTTCGGACTCGCCCAGACACCTGGGCAGAATGTACTCACCAACACATTTTTTGTAAGATTCTCTGAAGGATCTAATATCTTCTCTATCCAAAAAAGCTGCTTCAGCTACACCTTCCGAAAATTCTTCATCCAGTCTTACTATCTTTCCAGTCTTCTCACTAAGCTTTTCTTCAAAGATGATAGACATAGCATGCAGTTTTGCCAACTTTTTAACAGTTGTTTCCAACCAGTTGTAGGAGACTGGTATATGAAAGTTCCAGGAACTGTATCCGTCAACTGACAAGTCTTCAAAAAGGAGCTTGTCATTGCCAGCGAAGTAACACTTTGGGCAAACATCAGTCAGCTCCTCTAAACCAAGTTCTTCGCACTTTTTTAGCAGAGTTTCAAAAAAGAACTGTTCTTTTCCAAAAGGCACCATAGAGAATTCTCTAAGATCTGGGTTGTCTTTATCAACTATTTTTGCAAATAAGCGGTGAGTTTCCGTTTCTGTACCATTTCTAGCAGTCAGCTTTATTTTGTAATACTTTCCGAGGTTTCCAGGTAGATCTTGAGCAGGCACAGCCTCAAAACTTATCAATTCTGCTTCTTTAGTTTTGTAGATATGCTTTAAAATAGCATAACATTCTTCTCTATACAGCACTGGATATTGAATGCATTCTTCAACTTCTAACGCCGATTTTTGGATATCATCAATATTTTCTTTCTTACATGAATGATATAACCTCTCAAACTTTGCATATGGTAAGAACAGCCTTAGCTGGGTGCTAAATTGGTCCTTTGTGAGGTCATATTTTGACAAAGTCTTGTTGTAATAGTTTTCAGTAATGTCACTAAACGCTCTCAATCGCTCATCAGTATCTACGTGAAGAAGTATTTCACATAGAACGTCATATACAGCTGGTATTTTCAAAGACTCTTTGTCAACATGAAATATTGTTCCACATGATTTGTTCCCAATTTTGCTAACATCAAACTCAGCCAGCTTCAGTATACCATCATTGAATTCATCTTTACTTAACTTCGTCAACTCAACCGTGGGCATTTTGTCTACGACATACTGATACTTGCTTTTGTCTATGAAAGAGTCATCTAATTCACTATCACACAGCACTGAGTGGCTTTTTAAGAACTTATCTGAAATGCTCATGTTCACATATACGCCGTGCACTTGAAAATAATTGAGAGCTATCTGTGCGCTGTTATTTGATACTTTCAGCCTTGGGACCTTGATAAACAAGGCAAATTAGATTGTTAGCCACAATAAAAATACTGAGGAAGGTATTGCTATTGCACATCAGACCAAGTTACATGTGAGAATTACACCTTTTTTGTCAAAATATACCCAACAATTTAAGTGTGGCTAAATTATGCTGATGCAACGTTGCATTTTCTCTTAAATGTTTAAGTGTCTGTGGGATTTGTTTTACTAAAATTGAATAACATGAACGTGAATAATATGTGATTTTACTTAGACGGTGTCAAGTGCCGTGTCAAGCAGTTTCGTTATTGAATGAGACATCTACTTGTCGTGTGCTCTCTCGTCAACTATCGTGATTGACGCCACAAACCATGTGTTTCAATAGCAATAGCCTCCTGTTACTTATTGGAGTTATTTGTAGTTAAATATGTATGTCAAAAAGCCCATCAACGTTTGTGCATTGCTTCAGTGTAATTCAACTTTCAATATGAAATATTTATACAAGAGTGGGTACATATCATGCGACACCGAGAAGTCAATTCGCTGATGTGCTATTTCAAACTTTATCCTATCCGTACAGCAGAGGCCGTAGGAGTGACGGTACGCACAACAGACCACGGCCCTCTGAACATCGTATCGATATACGTACCACCTACATCGACGATTTATCTGGAAGATGTCACCTGTATCACTGCACTGGGAAACAGTACCGTAATCGTAGGTGATCTAAACGCGAAGTCCACCATTTGGGGCTCAAGAAACAGAAACAGTCATGGCGCTGTTCTCGAAACACTAATGGATGAACCTGGATACACCATGATAGGTCCGGATGAACCTACAATATACCCCAGTAACGGAGGTAGACCAGACGTCATAGACATGGCGATTCTGAAAGAAATTGACATGCGCACGACCATCGGCGCCTTGCAAGAGGGAAGCTCAGACCACAACCCCATCTTTCTCTGTATGGGAGATGGGATAACACCTGTGGAACAAAGAACAGTGAAGAGAGTGAATTGGCAGCGGTTTAGAACCAGACTGCACTATTCACAAGGACCACTACTTCAGATCGAAAGCCCCGAAGGCATAGAGGAAGCGGTCACGGACCTAGAAAGGAAGATTAAGGCTGCGTTAGAAGCCGCAACCACCGTGGAAGACATAACGCAACCAAACAGGTTCAGGGACTTACCTGACGAGGTAAATCGCAAGATCACCGAAAGAAATAGAGCCCGAAGAGTAGCCCAGGAGACCAGAAGCCCCACGGACATCATGGTGGCAAACCGACTAACGAGACAGGCACGAGACGCCTTGAAGCAGCATCATCAGAGCCCCTGGGATAAGAAACTCGACGAACTATCTCCAGCTGACCCAGGAATGTGGAACTTGGCTAAAATCCTCAGAAATAGAAGACAGCCCATCCCCCCAATACACAGCGAACAGGGGATGGTGTACACAACCGAAGAGAAGGCAGAAGCTTTTGCTGACAACCTTCAGAGACAGTGTACTCTCAATACTCACCCCGATGAAGACGAAGACTTCATCGACGAGGTGATGAGAAGATCGAGGAGAGTTGTCAGAGGAGGAAGAGCCATCGAAGACATGACCTCTCCAGGTGAGGTAAGGGAAATCATCGGAAGACTCAAGGTGAAGAAAGCACCGGGTGTAGACGAAATTGGGAACAGAGTCCTGAAGAGACTCCCGAGGAAAGCGATAATGGCAATTACCAACATTGTCAACGCCATACTGAGACACCGGTACTTTCCAGATCACTGGAAAGTAGCCGAAGTGATCAATATTCCAAAACCTGGGAAAGACCCAAGGTTCCCCCAAAACTACAGACCCATAAGCCTGTTGACGGCACTGAGCAAGATTGCGGAAAGGGTAATCGAACGAAGACTGAAGAACGAAACCGAAGAACTCCGAGTAGTTCCAGACGAACAGTTCGGATTCCGATGCGAGCATTCAGCAGAGCACCAGGTCCTAAGGCTGGTCGAGATGGCAACGAAAGCGTTCCAGACTCGGCGGGCCGTGGGAGCTGTGTTCATGGATGCCGCAAAGGCGTTCGACACTGTTTGGCATGACGGACTGATCTACAAGATGGTAGACCTCGGATACTCAAAGGGGATGATCCAACTGGTGAAGTCCTATTTGAAGCACCGAAAATTCCGAATTAGGATTGGCAAAGAAACTTCGACGACGAGGACTGTGGAGGCAGGAGTACCGCAGGGAGCGGTTCTATCACCCCTGCTGTACGCAATCTACAGTTCAGACATCCCGAAGACTCCTCAAACGCAACTGTATATGTATGCGGACGATACAGCATATGCGGCAGAAAGTACGAGACCCCGCATGGTTACGGAATATCTGCAACGAGCGACCACCAATCTAGAGGAATGGTGCATCAAGTGGAAGATCCGTCTCAACCCCGAGAAGACCGAAGCGGTACTGTTCCGAAGAAATCGAAGATTACCTCAAACCAAAATCAAGATGACTACCACCAGAATGGAGAGAGGCTGGAGAAGAGATGAAGAAGTTGAGGTCGACTGGAAAGACTCCAGCACATACCTTGGAGTCAAGATGAACCAAAAACTCAATTGGAAGAACCATGTCGAGGACCGGGTGCAGAAAGCGAGGATGGCACGCTCTAAACTAAGACCCTTAACGGGCAGAAGAAGCAAAGTGTCACTAAAGAATAAGACCATCATGATTAAGATGGTGCTGCTACAAATCATGACTTACGCAGCAGTAGCTTGGGGCTACGTTTCCAAAACGATGAAGAAGAGGCTCCAAGCTCAACAAAACATGGCACTCCGTGAAGCGGTGGACGCACCGTGGTATGTACCTAACAGAGTGCTATATGACGAACTACGACAGGTACCGGTCGTAATCCAGATGAAAGAGAGGGCCCGAAAGTTCTTTGAAAAGAACGAAAGACATCGAAACGTGCTGATTAGAGACGCCTTGGATTACGACCCAAGAACAATAAGGCGTCACAAAAGACCGAAAAGCCAGCTGCAACAAGAAGATATTTGGCCCTAGCAGCTGATGAGGCCAAAGAAAAGGGGAGAAGACCGACAATAGTTGTACACCCAAGAGGGGAAAGAACAGCCCGTGTACAACGGGTGGACAAAAAGAAGCCTGTCGATTGAGGTGGCCAGAGTCAAGCACGGACTCGGGGCTAACCTCAGGAGACGAATGACTTACAAAAATGACTGACTGACGACGACTGACTGACTCCAGTCGACGAGGAAAGAGCGAAGGCTCACCAACCTTTAGGAGGGGCTTAGGTCAAAAGCCCCCAGCGCAGGACCCCCCAAGAAAAGAGGCCGTCCATAAAGTCGAGAACCGACAGTTGGAAGAAACGTCCACCACGCGCTTCCGCGACGCGTGCGCGATCGAGTCAAATTTCGGGAAAAAGGGGCAAAATTGGGGAAGGGGGGATAGCTCGTTCGGCAGCACACACTCGGGGAATGCGCAAGCGGCCTGAACCACGCAGCGCCACTCCAGGCCTTGGGCGGGAGTGGGGGGAGGAGCAGATTGCTCTTCCCCCCACTCCTCAAGGGTTTGAGGTTGCCTGGAACAGGGGTGGTGGAGGGACCGCACAGGGTAGGAGGGTGTGTGTGTATCCTATCCGTGTTCCCTATTTGATTCAGACCTTGTGTGGATGTTTGCATCATTTATATTTAATTCCACTTCCTGAATGCTTACGATTACAATATTTTTCTAGTTTGTGGTAAGGAAATCCAGACAATCTAAGACTCTACTATTCAAGAGCTAACAATATTTCCTGTGCTATTCAAAAAGTACTTATCATCATCATGATAGATTAAGTGGTACGTAATTAGATATGTACATAATATCGTCAGCTAACCCAATGTCACGACACATCATTTTCCTGAAAACACTGCCACGGCTAACCAGTGATAGTGCACAGCTCGGAAATTACGCAAAATCGTCAGAGGTGCACTTTACAAAACATTTTCATTATTACTCATTGGAATCGCCTTATTTGCACGGATATCCAGCTATAAATTGACCCCTCTGGCTTTTTTGATGACCTTTTAGAAAAAAGTTATGTATACAAGTAGTATGGCATAATATATATGTACATATATCCTTAAATTTATTTGGGTAGAAGGCAAAGCATTGCATAAGCACACTCTTATAACTTAAACTCGAGCTTTCGAAGGTCTATGCCCTCATCGTCCGGAGCTGGAAACGATTTTTAAATAATAGCAACAATAAACAATTAAGAGGAAAAATTATATTGTTGCTGAAATTGTTCTTAAACGACAGTAAATGGAACACATAGTCGACGAATAAAAAAACTGGACCGATGAGGTTCGATTAGGAGGGAATTATTTTATTAATGAATTTCAAATCATAGCTATGTTTTCTTTGCCATTTATTAATAAACTTATTCCGTCCCAATAGAAAATCGTCGGTCCAGTTTTTTTATTCGTCGACTATGTGTTCCCTTCACTGTCGTTTAAGAACAAGTTCAGCAACAATCTTGCCGACTTAGTAAGTAATATATTTTTTCCTCCTAATTGTTTATTGCTGCCTTTTTTCAAAAATTGTTTCCAGCTCCAGACGACGAGGGCATAGACCTTCGAAAGCCCGAGTTTAAGTTATAAGAGTATGCTTATGCAATACTATGCCTCCTACTAAAAGAAATTCAAGGATACTTTCTCCTAACAGTTAAGGCCATTAACTATGAATACTATATGTACATATATATATATATATTTTTTTTTTTTCAAGGTGTATCAATATCACACATTCTGCAGTCATATGAACTACACACTTTTTTTTCCAAAACAAGTTATTTCAGCATTTTAGTAATTTTGGGTGGAGATTTACCGAGCGTTCCTCGTATACTTCATACCCAAAGTTGGACAGGGAGGTGTACATATCCACGGTCCGTCGCGTCAATCACTTGTCATCTGTCGATACTTTACCTTTCCGTGCCTTCCCCCT